CCACTGTGAAATCGTGAAAGTATTAATTCGTTGGTAATAAGCCTTGAGCATAAATAACATATATTATCAGCAGCCATTTTGAAAAGAAATATTATTTTGTTACTTACTATGTCCCAGCACGCTTATTTGTATTTGCTTCTATCACATTCCGCTTGAAGATTTTCGCCATTCCAAAATCAGATATTTTGGGGTTCATTTTCTCGTCAAGTAGTATGTTACTGGCTTTCAAATCCCTGTGAATTATTCGTAATCGCGAGTATTTGTGAAGGTAGAGCAATCCTTGAGCAATCCCTTCAATGATGTTGAAACGTGTATCCCAAATTAAGAGCTCCCCCTTAGCTGGACCTGTCATGTACAATGTTTGCTTACTATCTCATTTTATTGAGGCTTATGCCTTGACTTAGTGAGGCTTACGCGTCAAACCAACTAAATTGCTCATGTTTGCCTTGCATTTTTCAAATAAACTTATAAAGAAGATGATGATCGCATTAGTAATGATCATATTAAAAAAAAAAATTGTAGTCATAATTTTGTTACATGATTACTAATGTGAGGATTTATTGTCTTCTATTCTCTTGATTTATTTTATGTTCGTTGCAAGTTAGACTTTTAATTTTGTTAACTAGTTTTATTATGGTGTTTTTTTTTAAAGGGTTCATAATTTATTATGAGCATATTTTTATATTCTTTTTAATTCTTTTATTTTTCTATCTTGAGGCTCACGTCTCACCTCATGGAGATAAGACGTCTGATAAAGTCTTTTTAAACATTGCTATAAGATAGTATTTGAACTAATAAGAGGTAAAAATTAATTAATCTAAACAAATAAAGATAAAATTAAAATTGTCCTTATCATACAAGAAAATACAGATTTTGTTCACTCCAATTATGTTTCTGAACTCGAGGTATACAAAATCCATTTAAAAAATGCGTTTGAAAACAAAATTAACCTACCATTCTCCAATTGAAAATTCTCTTGATTGTTTATTTTTGTATCAATCATAACATATTTTCGAAAAACCTGTCACTGTAACTTGAAAATATACTGTGGGAAATAGATGGTACTCACAAAAGAGAAAGAAGTCCAAACTTTTGTTAGGCATGTAGTCATAGATTATCATCTTCTCATCTCCATGGATGCAGAAACCCAATATTTTCACAAGATTCACGTGTTGGATTTTAGATATAAGTATTAGTTCAGTTTTGAACTCGAGCAATCCTTGAACTGACCTTCGGGAGAGTACCTTTACCGCAATTTCTTGCCCTTCAACAGTTTTTCCCTGTAATGATATATAAACACATACTTTATTTATTATTAAATTAGAGGATGTTGTCGAAGAGAGTGACGATACCATATTTATATTGAAGAAAAATTAATATATTTATCAAAAGAAGAAATGGTTGCAGATTGAATATGTATGGTAAGTGTTTATAAACGTTTTAAATTATAAATAGATAGAAATGATGAATATGTAGGTAGTACCTGTAGATCCTTCAAAATGTGTGGATAAAAAGTAAACTTGAACGAAACATAGACTAACATTGACGTGTCCTAAGAGTGACTAAGAAAGTAAGATCCCGGACAATGTTAAGAAAGAGAAATGGCAACTCTAACAAGGTTTGGAATTGGGCTCTTTGTGGGCACCAGTATGATAGCTGTATACCCTGACCTGCTGAGACACAGCCTGCGATTTACCTCCTCCATAATTCTCCAGGGGCGGTGGGGATCCTCAAGATTGGGGTTCAACCTTTTTTTTTTATTTTTTATTTTTTTAAAGAAAGAGAAAAGGCAATAAGAGTGTTTTTTTCAGCAATGATCAATAAATGCCTTTTCAGATACTCTGATGCAAGAATCAGGGGCTACTTGAAGCTCCAAAGGGCTGATCCTATTCAAAGAACACATAATATTCTCAATTCAAATTTACCTTATAAACAGGGCCAAAACCACCCTCTCCCAGTTTGTTTGTTGACAAAAAGCTGCCCGTAGCTTTAAGGATGGACGAATATGTAAACAATCTAAGATGATGACCCTGTCCCCCATCACTTTCAACTGGATGTGTTTCAGTATATCCCTCTAGGGTCATCAATTCACGTAATTCTTCCTTCTTCCTTCTCCCTATGGGATGATTATCCAAAGCGTCAACATAAGAACACCAATGACTAAAGTTAGGAGAATTAGAACTGGAAAAACTAGAAATATCAAAATAAGAATGCAATGGATCTTAAAGAGATATAAAAATGACAGTGCAACTACAACTACAACTCCTGAAATGAATCTTATTGTATTCTGTAATCCTCTTTCTAATCATTCTGTTGAAGTGAAATTGTATGCATATAAATATCAACATGACATCAATTAAGAAATACATAGAACCTACTTTATAATCTTTTCTTCTCCAGCTCGCCGATATTTGTTTTAGGTATTTTATTTGTATGGAATATGAAGAAGGTTTTTAAACGCTACAAGTGATCGGAAAGATACCTTGTTCAATTTTTCGGATGATGAACCATACACAGCCCAACAAAAGCACAATTACTGCTGCAATAACCAAAGTAATGATTTTCCATGTCTTCCATCCTGTCATTTATCATTTGATGATAGTAAACGCAGTGCCCAAAGAGAAATATCTCTATGGGACGTCAAGAATAGAGGAAAGAGGGAAGTACATTTATTAACTTGCATATCGCTTTATATATCTTCAACATATTAGGTCAGAAGAAATTTCTTTTGCAAAAAATCAAAACCCAAATGAAAAGAAGTTTACTAAAAAAAAAAGGGATTCCGGACCCCAAACAGAGGAAATGAATTAAGGGAATGTGTGCATATGTTGAAAAATTCTTGATTTGGTGATATGACTTACTTTTGGTTGAGTGTGGAACAAGAACGAATTGTGTCTGTTCAGAACCATCAAGACTCTGTACAAAATTCGTTTTCCCTTTCCAGTATGAACATCTATAGTCATATCTAAAGCCTGCACATTCACAGTCCTTCCAGCAGTTCTCTCTGCAGTCACTCTCAGTAAGACTTGCATTCTCATTACTCTCTGCATTCACTCTCACTCCATGTCCATCAGCGAAATACCCTGATTTCGAAACAAATATCTCATCATGATTCCTGCAACTTGGCTGCTCCCTTAATTCACAGCCTTGTATGTTATCACCATAACAGTGACTAACTAGTGCTATAATCATTGGCCTCTCATGATCAGATATATCCCCGTTATATGCCAGCCGCCATCCAGAAATAATTTTTCGACGTTCAGGTGTCAACTCGGGGTCTATTATAAGGGAGTAGCTGAAGTAATCCTCCACACCATTTGAAACATTGGTGAAATTGTAATTGAGATTGAAAACATCGGGTTTCATGACTATATTCTCAAATTCCTTGACATTCAATCTCGAGTTCTCATCCGTATAATTTTTCAAGTCGCCACTGGTCCAATAAGCCAAACCTCGTCGTAGTACAATCAGTCTACGTGTGCCAGGATCCCATTGTAGCGTAAAAGCTCCTGAAGCGGGATTGGTTTCGTTAAACCATGATGTAAGAGACCAATTTCTCCCAGTCCTATGATTAACACCTAGTTTCATCCCCGCAATAAGAGTATCAGTGGGATAATCAAAGCTTTCCCACAGAATCCTGCCCTCAGACCCATTTATATTCATCTCTCTCACTACAAAATTCCCCGTATTCAACAGCGTGGCTGTTATATTTGTGCCATTTCCGCCTGCATACAGCTCAATAGGATCTGATCTGTTGCTCGTTATAATAATTAGTTCTCCAGCACTACTTATTGTGAGAATGCCAGAATTATCCATAATAGGTTTTTCTCTGTTACCAAGCCATACTGGATAATTTGGATAGACCGAATCTGTGTACCATATTCCTAAATAAGTATTATTGGTATCTTTGGGCTTATAGAATCCTAAAGTGAAAACTTTGTTTGCAGAAACTAAGGAAGCAGATGAATTTAGACTATCCCCATGTACAAGGGTATCAACAGATGAAACAAGGGACACGAAACAATAGAATGTCAAAAGGAAGAATGATATGGTTAGGATTACAGCTTTCTCCATTTGGATATGATCAGAAATTGTTAAAGCCAATAATATAAACACGGACCATCTTCCCTGTCACTAACATCTTACTTTTGATTTTTCCAAAATACCAAGATTATTGTTTGGGAAAACTTATTTTTTGGGTTAATATATAGATTTTAAAGTAGTGAATATTTGAAAAAAATAAAAAATTTGGGTTTGCATGATTAGCAATTGTTAAAGACTTGCTACAGGAATGTAAATATGGAGTTGTGATTTGAGTTTGAATTTCAGATAAAGCAGGAAAGAAAAATTGAATTTCAATTTTTGGATTTTTAACATTGAATTTTCAAATTTTCAATCCTACCAACATTGACATTTCAAATTTCTTGACCAAATGATAAAACATTCAAAAATCAAGAAAAATATTAATAATGGGCAAGATTAATAATGGATATATTAAATTAGAGTTCATACACTTCATGGCATATTAATAATGGGCAAGATTCTGCAGGGGTCAAATCTTCAAATAGGTTATTTTTGGTTTGATTTGGGGCAAAAGATATCAACACGGTGTAGTTTTATTACGAACAGTTACAAGTTACAAAGCATAATCAATTGTTTTTATCTTATATTTTGTTTAAGAACATGAAAATTCGTCTTTTGATATGATTAGAATCAGACTTAGGACTTGTGACTGAAATATGCTATTGTCTTTCATTGTCAAGGTGTAATTTCCTCAATTTTATTCACTTATGTACCACTCATTTCTACATATTTATAACTGAAACCTTGTAAACACTTCCTAGAAAATGTTGTTACTCACTGGACCATGCATGCAAGCATGTTTTTGGTGCATTAGTCAGTAGCGGAGTCGGGAATTTTCGTTGGGGGCTTGGTTTCTTGCTAGCATCTTTCAGACTGAAAAATTGTTAAGCGGACAGATACAAAATAAAAAGTAGAAATTGAATCTTATTTTCACTTTTCCCACCATGCTGGATAAAAAAGTATTTCTATCGTACCATATCTCCCTGTTAGATATAATATTATTGTATAATATTTAGTTTATTTAGTGTCATTTTTTGTTTACTTTTCTTGTAATATGTAAAACGTGTATGTTTCATTAGAAAAACCTAATTTTTTTTAGGGTTCATTAGATTATTGATTTTTCACTCTTTCTCCTTCTTTTCTCCTCTTTGAATTAATTCGCTATATTGGTTCAAGGTATTTCATGTTGTTAACATTGTATTAGAGCCCAAATTTTTGTATTGAAGTTGATTCTTTCATGTCATGCTATTTTGTGCAATTGAAATCCTTACCTTCGTTTCTTCCCATCTAGAAATCCACATTAATTGAGCAACTTATTCCACTTGCATTGTTTTGCGTGTATAGTGGCTGTCTAAATAATTTGAATTTTTTGGACGGTTGTAGCAACTTTTGGTCAACCGAATTTGGTGCGGTGAACGTGGCCAGCTGAATATGAATGTGAATCCAAAACAAAGTCAATAAATGGTACAAAAGTGAAATTCATAAACTCACTGTCACCTTTGTAATATTATAATTCGAGGAACCTTGACTTTTATTTACTAAGGGTACATCAACTTTCAACTGCATTTTTAGTAGGTATTCAAACTTTTAATTTTCTCTAATACATACTCGAACTTTAATCTATTTCTCATCCATATCTAATTTAACTAGACATTTCTTCCCCTTCCGCAATTCCAATTCCACCCTAATCCGCTGGTATTAATACTGTTCCACAAAGTCATTTTTCCAAAATCAATGGTACCAATTCGCTCTAAAATGTCAACTGTACATTGCCTCGTATATTCACAAATCCTCTTTTAGCACCATAATTTATTTGAATCATTAACTGGCTACCATATAACAATGATGTGCATTTCAAAAACAAAGAACTTGATTCGTAGAGTTTGGGGGGAATTTAAAATTTTGGATACCTATAAGAAACTGAGTCACCCATTATTCTTTCTAGTCTCAAGTATTTCTTTTGAAGTAAACCACATTTACACCACAATTTTATGGGTGAATATATTGTCACCACAAATTTTGTTATTTATACCACACTTGTTACTAAAATGACCATATGTAAAATGACTTAAAGTACCATGTTGTGCACATCTGTTCTTTTTCTCTAATTCAGTTTTATGTATAATACCACAAAATATATATTATTTCTTTCTCTTTCATTTTAAAGTCTCGAAGAATTGTGATGAATAGCAAGAGAAAACGGGAATAAAAGGGAAGCTATGATATGCGCAAAGGATCCATTCCAACTCTTTGAAACAATATTTCAAAATTTTACTCATTTGATGAATTCGATTTTTTTTTTTTAAACATAACACATCAATTTGCATTATGTTTCCCTTTTTTTTTTTTTTTACATATATGCAAAGTAATTTTTCAATGATTTCATGATTAGTGTTTTTATTTTTATTTTTGAAGCGAAATTTAATGATAAATGTTAAAGTGCATTTTGTTTTTAATTTTTTTTTTTATTATAATATTTTTGGTTAAAATAATTTGACATTTGAGAATTTGGAATCGATTGATTCAATCGAATTGAATTGTGGAGTATATGTTGATGTGTTGCACTGAATTCAATTATCTCTTCATTTTGTGATTTGTTTTATGTTTTTTAAATTGAATTAAACAAAAAAATGTGTACGTATTCTTTTCTTCATTTTTAGTTTTTATTGAATTGGAACTATAATTGTAATTTGATGTGATGTACTTATTGAAAATATATTTTAATTGTGGTGTAATGAGTAAATATTGTGGTGGTACCCCAATTTTAATTAAATTTTTTATTTACTTAAATGACCCTAAATAAAATTACTTAAACAAGCCCAATATTTTCCTTGAATATTTCAACAATCTTGGGCTTGTGCCTCCCCGATATTTTCCTTGAACGTGCGAAATATTAGTTGTGCGTGCATTGATTTGTTTTTTTGCTCGAGGGGATAAACATTTAGCGTAGTTTACCTGCAAAGGTGCACATTATTTAGGCAAATATGTTGGTGATGCTGAGCGCCAGCTACGATTTTTGTTTCAAGTTGATGAGAAATCACAGCCTTCTATCATTTTCTTTGATGAGATAGATGGCTAGCCTCGTGTTGCACTTGTCAAGGATTAATAGTCGATCTTGATTATTGTCACTTCACGGAATTGGTTATCATGGGGGGTTGGAAGGGGGCAGGAGGCCCCTTCTGAGGGGAGGGGTGGGAGGCGGAGCCCCCACACCAAAATTTCATAAGGATTGTTTAGGTTTTTGTATTCTCGTAAAAATTTATCAAGGAATTGGAATCTTTTTAAAATTTGATTTTGTTCTAATTTATTTTATAAATATGGAGACGTCTTTAAATTTTATTATTAATGACTGTAAAATTTATTTCTCATTGCCTTCAGTTAATGACAAAGAAGCCATCCTTCATTGCACATTCAGATGTGGCCTAAGCCTATTATCGGATCCGTACTCAAGTGGGTGACGAGGCAAATGTGGGATTCTAGGTGCTGATCTTCGGTCTCTTTTTACTCCAGCAGCCATCGTTGCTCTGAGGTTAGGCTTTTCATTGCAAAAAAATTATTTATTTACTTGATCTTTTACTAATGGTCCTCATTTCTGCAAATGTTTCCTGATGCTCAGCGAAAATATTGAGCTCGTTTACGAACATATTATTAAGCCAGTGGGTGGGGGAAGTTGGTCGAGAAGAATGAGTCGGAAAAGATGAGAAAAATGAGTAATATTTTATTTTATTTTTCTTCATTTTTAGTTTTCATTAGATTAAGACTATAATTGTAAATTTGTTGTGGTGTGTTTATTGTAAGCATGTTTTAATAGTGGTCTGTTTATAATGTGAAGTGCTAAGTAAAATTTGTTGTGGTAATGTAATTACCCTTGTTTAAATGTGGGCTTATGGTTTCAATGTAATGTTTTTGAATTAGAAAATACTTGGAACTTTTTGAACGAATTAATGTTTACTTTTCGGTTATCGTGCACGAATCAATGAATCGTGATCATGTCCAATTATTCTTTCTCGCTTGTGTCTACTTGACAAATGAACAACATTAATTACATTGGACACAAATATCTTTAACGTATGGAAAAAGTATAGTTTTTCAAAAGCTACATAGTTTAGTAATAACTTGAAATATCATGGAATACTCAGTGTAACAAATAAGAGTAGCTCTCGAGTCCCACTATCTACGATCGATTACAGACATCGAGAGTCCATTAGCTGAAAACTTCTCAAGACTTGCCATTTTCAAGTTCATAAACGGTACTATTTCTGGTGACAAATGCTGGGCAATTTGGCCTTGACAAAAGCATCATTTCATTTTTTTACATGGACATAACATCCTCAATAGTAGGGCGATCTGTTGCACGATTTTCCAAGCATAAAAGACCAACATGAATGCATCTTTTCAATTGATCTGTAAGGCTGCATCAACTTTTCAGCATCGGATCCATAAGCTCTAATGCAGTGTCTTTACTCCAGAGTTCCCAAGTCTACAATAATTTTACACTAAATCCAAGTACAAAGAAAAACAGAAATGAGATGAATCTAAAAATTGATCATAAGTTGACTTACATATTCTACTAGATTGAGAGGACCTTCTTCATTGTGAAAGCTATTGTTTTTTTTTTTTTTACCACTCACAATCTCAAGCACTAAAACTCCAAAACTATAGACATCCAATTTGATAGAGTAAATACCTTGCATCGTGTACTCGAGCCATCTAACCCCTGTGAAATCGTGAAAGCATTAATTCTTTGGTAATGAGCCTGAGCATATATAATATAGATTATCAGCAGACAATATGAAAAAGAAATATTATTCGTTACTTACTATGTCCCGGGATGCTTGCTTGTATTTGCTTCTATCACATTTTGCTTGAAGATTTTCGCCATTCCAAAATCAGATATTTTTGGGTTCATTTTCTCATCAAGTAATATTTTACTGGCTTTCAAATCCCTATGAATTATCCGTAATCGTAAGTATTTGTGAAGACAGAGCAATCCTTGAACAATCCCTTCAATGGTGAACATGTATCCAGATTACGAGTTCCCTCTTAGCTAGGTCTGTCATGTACAATGTTTGCTTGCTTTCTCGTTTCATTGAGGCTTATGCCTTGACTTGGTAAGGCTTACTCATCAAACCAACTAAAGTGTTCACATGGTTGCCTTGCATTTTTCAAATAAACTTATAAAGAAGGTGATGATCACATTGGTGTATATATTAGTAGTCATAATTTTGTTACTTGATTTACTAATTTGAGGATTTATTATCTCCTATGTTTTTGAATTATTTTATTTTATGTTTGTTGCAAGTTATACTTTTAATTTTGTTAATTAGTAATAGTAGGGATTTTTTGAAGGATTCATAATTTATTATGAGCATATTTTTATATTTTTCTATTCTTCCGAGTTCTCTTAATGTTCTATCTTAAGGCTCACACCAGAAAGTGTCTCGAGGCTTACGTCTCGCCTCATGGAGATAAAAAATTAAGAGTGAGCGCAATCCGATTCAATCCGATTTCGAAGGAAATCGAACTGGTCCAAATACTAATGGAATCGTAGAAATGGAATCATTGGTTCCATATCTAACATATAACCGAAATCAGAACCGAACTGGCTTATATTAATTTTTTTTAAAATAAAGTATTAAACTAGTTGTCGATTAAAAATAGATAAAATAGAATTAATTAAATCGGGCAACAAAAAAAAAACACTCCAAAACTCGAGATCAATATTAAGGGCATGAAAAGGATAAATTATTAAATACAATTACATTGTAAATTTAGATTAAAAAAATTAATTGCTAAGAAAATTCACACAGTAAAGAGAAGATTATCTTTAAAGAGAAGATCTTGATTTCGTCACTTTCAAAACAATGAGAAATTTGAGTTCTTATGAACAATTTAGATTTAATTAATATTGATTATCCATTATATTTTATTGTAAAAGAGATATGGATAGTAAAATTTTGGCATGAGATAATTTTAAGGTTTAGTGTCCAAATATTCTGTGTATATTTGTGCAATATACCAAAAATATAAAAAAAAAAGAGAAACTAGAAAGAATCAAATTCACTTTTGGTTCTTAAGATAGCATCAAGAAACTAGGCATAATCAAGATAAAATTATAAGTGCAAAATCGATTTTAAAATATGTATTCATAAACAAAATTAACTCATTATTCTTCAATTGAAAATTCTTTTGATTGTTTATTTTTGTATCAATCATAACATATTTTCGAAAAACCTGTCACTGTAACTTGAACATGTGTCAGAAGTATATATACTGTAGGAAATAGACGATACTCACAAAAGAGAGACTTTTGTTAGGCATGTAGTCATAAATAATCATCATCTCATCTCCACGGATGCAGAAGCCCAATATTTTGACAAGATTCAGGCGTTGGATTTTAGAAACAAGTATTAGTTCAATTTTGAACTCGATCGTACGAGCACCTTTACCACAATTTCTCGCCCTTCAACAGTTTTTCCCTGTAACGATATATAAACACATACTTTATTTATTATTAAATTAGTGGATGCTGTCAAAGAGAGTGACGATGCCATATCTACATTGAAGCAATACTAATATACTTATCAAAAGAAGACATAGTTGTAGATTGAACATGTATGGTAAGTGTTAATAAATGGTTTAAATTATGAATAGATATAAATGAGTTATGAATATGTAGGTAGTACTTGTGAGTCCCTTGAAATGTATAAATAAAAAGTAACAGGAGTGTATATAAATAGTTTATAAACTTGAACTAAACATAGGCTAAAATTTATGTGTCCTAAGAAAGTAAGATCCCGGACAATGATTAAGAAAGAGAAAATGAGGAAAAGGGTGGACAAAATCTAGAANGACAATGATTAAGAAAGAGAAAATGAGGAAAAGGGTGGACAAAATCTAGAATCTGTCTTCTACAAGCTGTCTTACTTTTAACGTAGCATGGCTTTGAGAAATGCACATATATAACAGCAAATTTTGTGTCTAAAATTATGCTGCAACAAGATCTGGTGTTTCTGCCTCAACAGATAGCAAAGCAGTACACACTTTATCCATCCAATTATCCAACCGGTCTCGCAATGACTTGATTTGAGGAATCCCCAAAACTCTTGGTTGAACCCACGACACATGAATTGTTCCCTCGACTTGATCGATAATCCCCTCAATCAGATGTACCTGCAGTAAGATTGTGCCACTAATCAGAAGGCTCCATAGAACTTAAAAGTGGATAGCGACGAGCTACTCTCCTTTTATTGTAGTTATCATTACTCCAGAACAAACAGATGATCATTGATGAAAACGTGATCACATACTAGAGATGAATGACGTCATTACGAACCCCAAAAAATTTTGAAGTCCTGAAATTGGGGGGAAATGGAGACGGAAATGAAGATACCAAAGTCGCAACAAGTTATTTGTTATCCAAGAAAGTTCTCCCAGTCACTATACTCCCTCAAAGAGCAAGTTGTGATGTCATATTAAAAATCACATTGTAAGATCACCTCTTGCTTCGCATGTACCCATGCAAGCATCGAGGCAAGTGTACAATATGTATGCAACATGAAGCAGCTCAAGAAACCCATCATACAATATGGCCATGCATGTGCTGACCAGGATCCGATGATGGTAAGAGAATATTTTCTACGTCCACTTACTGAAAGGCTCTTCATGAGCAGATACTCCACATCTTCTACTGTAAGTTTTGTTCGCCTGGCGATCACACTTAGCGGAATAGTTCTATCTTCTGATGGCCGACTGCAAGTAAAGACACACTTCTGAATTCAGTGGAAGGTACAGACTACAAAACAAAGTAACTTGCTCAAATAAGCAGTCAAGCAATTCTCCCAACTCACCTGAAGATGATTTCCATCAGGCAAAGAATGTTGATCTTCTCCAGAAGCTTTTTATCATTCTGTACTAATGCTGGTTGGGCACTCAGAGCAGCTCCATGGACACGGCATAGTTCTTGATAACAAACTAAATCACCAGAGTTGAATGCTTCAAGAATATAGTACAGCCACTCAACCTTGGTTCCTAGAAGACTTTTTATCTGTAGAAGTCAAAAGCAGGCCAAATTCCCAATCCAGTGAACCGTCTAATAGAACTTTTTGAATGGAACATAATTCAAGTAAACTTTAAGATTTATGCCTATCTCATCAACTACGTGAAAATATTTAATAAGAACTCAACTAGTGATGAGATTAAATCAAGAACATTACAAAATTCAAGATAAGACTTTAGGAATGAATAGAAAGAACTACAAAAATGGGAAGGCAAAGTTGGACAGATGTCAAACCACAGTGCACGTCAATACATCTTTTGTAGACAGTGTCTCCACATGGTATTGCATAAACTGTGACATCAGATAAATAATATTTTCATAATAATAGTAATACGGATTTCACATGGCCAATAGCATAATCTTCCTTATTCCTTAGAAACTGGCTGAATCTCCAATGGCAAAGGCCTGATATTGTTAAATGGAAGGAACAGCAAATTTAAGACAAAGAATACAGCATATGGAACAATATACCAGTTACTCAGAAAAAAATCATTTGCTACCATCCAAGAGTAATGTGCACCCAATTGGAGTATATGAAACTTTCCCTTGTTTCTCTTTCATCGAGAATTACTGTAGAAAGAATATCTTCCTCATTTTCTTTAAGCATGGTTCCAAAGGCAAGTGCTTTGAGTTACAGCAACCAACCATACAAATCTAACTTTATTATATGTATATACATTATCTAGCAAATGCTATTTATTGATATCTTGTCACTCAGATTTTAAGACTTGTACCTTATATAATAAACCCATCCTTGTATGCTCGCATTGCAGGATTTCGTGAAGTATTGATATCATTAGCATTAAGTCCAAGTAGAAATCTGGAATAACTTCTTTTTTTTCTTTAATATATTCTTTTTAACTCTTGGTCTCAACAATCCGAACATGGAACAAAGGAAGTCAGGAGGTAGAAAATAGTGGGCTTCAAAAATTTAACTTACAATGGGATGTGCAAGAAGTTCTCCAAAATTGTAAATGTTTTCCCCCAACAGTGCTGACAGGGCTAAATCAAATGCCAAATCCTGGGAAACAACAAAGAACATTGTTAGCTTAACTTGCACATGTAGAACCACTGTCCATCAAGAAAGCATTTTTTCAAGAAGATGCTGGTTGAACACGAGTCACTTTCTTCTGACATGAAGCATTTTCAATGAATGCTATGTTTACCAAAAACTCTACATAATTATAAATTGTTACACAAATTTTACTTTATGATTGATACAAAGTAGAGATGGAATACATATGCATTAACACCTTTACTGTAGAACTGTGGAGAAACTTTATTGAGCTGACTCAATATTGCACCATGGATTAAATTACTCTTGCTTTATTTATTGTGGAGATAACAAGTGATTACATGGTGTAATTCTAGGACTTGATTATTTTTCACTTATTTTACCCAACAATTTTCACTGAGATATAGACCACTAGAAAGCAGGTCAACAGATACTGACATTAAATAAAAGCAAAAGGGTATGTTTAAATGATAGTGTTGAAAAAAGTTTGAGGCAAGAAGTAGGCAATACTTTATTTCTGTCTTCATTGAAACAATACAAGTTTTTCTTTAATTGAAGAGAGTATAAAGTCTAGATATAGAGGACGGGAAGTTTTTTAACACAGAAAATGCACATGCCAAAAAGAAATCCAGGCATTCCTTTCCTTCCATAACAATAGCAGCCCGAAGAGATTCATTTCATCCATACAAGAAAAGGTTAACAAATGAATTAAACAACACATAAAACACTCTCTAAGCAGATCCATAGAACAAAATTGGAGCCATCAGACTCAAAGGCATCTTCACACTGCATCATCAATGAAAGGAACTAACATAAAAAATCTTTAAAACAGTCTTCACCAGATCATACGCATCAAATTTTCTATTGCTACACTATTTTCTACTTCATCTGGGCCTCCTGTAATTGTCTGTGTACTTGACACGCTTTCTTCCAAACGTAACCTCCGGAGTTTTTTTCTTTCTCTCCACAAAAACCTTTCAAGATCTAATCATCTGACAACAATTCCTTACCTACTTTAAGACAGAAACTTGAAAACACAATGTCCATTTCAGCATAAGAATTCATACAAACTTAAGCGAGGGTATCCACTAATAATAGTCATGACAGAATAGTTATCAGGTAGAAATTAAAAATATACACCTCTACTACACGTAGTCATTATCACAATTTTATGTAACCTCAGGTTTCAGCTTCCCATGAAAGGTGGCACAATGCAACCACCACCTTGGGAGACAGAACTTCCTAATGATCAAGGGCTGATCTCAAATTTATTTCCTAAATAATGAAAAAAGTAAGATATATTACCCTACCAGCTTAAATGATTCCGATAGCGACTGTACTGAGGTGTAAGCTAGATAGAGGAGAGCATTTTTGTAGAACTCTGCAAATTCTTGACGAGATTTATGGTATTGAGAGGAAATCCAATAATAGCTAGCATACACAGATGGATCGATGTCAGTCATGCTGTCAAGTGTACTCTTCCCATCTTCTAAAAGATTCTGGCACTCTTTTTGATCACCTTGCTCAAGCTTATATACAGCAATCTGCATCTTGATATAAAGAATTGGTTCCTCAATGCGAATCTCCTTTGTATTGCGAAGCTTTTCAATTATTCCTTGAAGATAATCAATAGCAGCATCATTCTCTGGGTACCGCCGAGATACTACGACCGCAAAATGTGAAAGCTTGAGAAGATTGATCTTTGTCTCAAAATCAGTTATGAAATTATTGTACAATTGTATGAGAGCATCGCCAGCCTGGAATTAATGTAATGAAAAAAATAAAGGTGTTAGATGCTATAAACATAGAGTGGGCTACAAAAGAAGTGTCATGAAACTTGCAAACATAGCTAGAAAAGAGGAAAGTGATGATGAAAATACTTAATCTCTAATCATCAGGTAAAATTTATCCCATCCAAGAGATGAGGCCACCAGCTCCTCGGAAGAATATACAGAAAGACTCAACTTTTACATCAAAGTTCAATTAGCTAGTGCATACAAACTGATTACCTGAAGACTTTTAAATCTACTTTAAATGTTGGTTGCAGTATAGATACTAAGTTCTGAAAGAAAGATCTCGCTAATGCCGTAAATAAACATAAGAAAATTGGAAATTGGTATCTATTACTTCCAGCCCAGATGCTAAATTTGTCTATGTACATTATCCAGTGTACTCATGAGACTGACTCGAGAAAATTAACAAAATATTAGACAATAAATTTGCATAATTCTCTATCAAAATCGCATATTCCAAATTTTCAGTAAATTTTCACCAATGCGAGCATGACAAGTGCTGAAAGTATCAGCATGTCTATGCACCTGAATATGCCTAAGCATTATCTTCCTATATGAGCTCAAAAGTACTTGTTAGGGGCTATGTCATAACCTCAAGCACGGTGAATTAAGACCATCCACTATCTAGAATGACGACTTGTTCTACAAACACATCAAAGTATACATATCTTAAAAACCTTTTAACCCTTCAACAACAACAATAAAAATCTAGGCCTTATTTTCAATAAATTTGAGGTCATCTACTTTATCCATTTTTCCCTTCATTCGATTCATTGCTATATGTTATGAAAGATCCAAAACAACTAGATCCTAGTAACTACAAATATCCATGTTAGTTTCCCATCACTCTTATGAACGAGAGCCTTTTAAAGATGATGGGAACAAGCTTAAAGCCAAAAGCTAACTAATAAGAGAAGAAATTGAAAGAATAAAGAGATAATAGTCGAAATCAAAGTAAATACTAAAGATTTAGAACTTTAGACTTAAATCTCAGCACACCAGAACTACCAGGACTGAGAAAGAGAGATCTCGAATTGATGTTTTTGTTTAAACTTTTCGGTAACTTCAAAACCCAATTTGATAAAGAACGTGAAGCTTTTGAATTATTTACATCATGTTAAAGATAATTAAACATATTGTTCTCTACCTTCCCAACAAAAATAAGTATCCGAATCTTAAATGCAAGTACACATGGTTAACAGTTCTTCAAATGTATGAACCCTGTAATAAATACTAAAATCTCTCATATTTCTTTAAAACCTCATCAGCATAATTTCATATAAAACACAAGTATACCACATATGTAGCATCTCAATAACTGGATCAGCATTTTACCTTGTAAAACAAATAATTCAATGGTGAAAACAACGTCTTTGGAAGCAAGCCTATACCATATGCACTCCAGAAATTACCTGTTAATTATTAGAGTAGTCTGGCCATAGGATTCAACCATCAACGCTCAAACTACGCCTCCTTGTACACAATCAAATAACTTTCAACTTAAATGATAAATGCTGTAAGCCAACTGTCTAACTCTCCATCTGTGGCCTCAGTTAGATAACAAAACTCTTCTTTAGACAAGTTCATTGATAAACGAAGAGAAACTGGTATAACTGACATTTATCACATCAACAGATAAATAATATTGATCACTCCATTTCCTTTATTAGCAAATTGCATAGGATTCTTGATGCGAGCTGATGACAACATGACATCACTTCATTGTGCATACGCACAATGACCAAATCCCATCTTATTTTCCAAATTTTCCAAAATTGTTCTCAATCCGTCGACCATTGACCACAGGCCAAACAACATTTATCCATATCATAAAAGGAAATTATTCATCATAAATATTTAAGCCCTCAACAACTCATGCACATTAAAAGTGCTCAATACTGCCTTAGTTGGCTATCAATTACATGATTCAAAGTAGAAAATCAGCTAAAGTCTAGTGCCTTCAATACCTGTCTCATTAATAGGTTTTAATCTAAACTGGCCGACATTTAAAAACTCATATTAGGAACATATATTCCTATATATGCGACTTTAAATTTTTGTCTCCATAAGATCTAAGAGGCACTTATATAAACACAAAATACTCGTAAAATGTAATCACAGAGTGATAACTAAAACACAAGATGCTCACAAGTCACAAACGATTGCAAGATGAAATGCAGACAGTTATCCATTTCTTTTCTCATAAGGCTTCCGGATTTCAAATATTATTATGGTGGGCTCATAAAGGGTAAAGTCCTAAAGAAAGAAAAGTTCAATTTCTTTATAATTCATCCTTCAATTTGTATCTCTAAAAATATACAGTTTATCTTGATTATCCTTTCCAGGTTTCAATGGAAACTTCCATTTCTCTCAGCTAAACTAAATTTGCCCTTCTCTTCAACCATAAAGAACCATAAAACACTGCCTAGAATCTGCCTTTCCAAAATTCTCCAAACCGAAAAAAAAATAATAATAATAATAATAATAAACCCTAATTTAAAACCTAAAATCCCATTCCTACCCAACCATAAAACTCAAAGAAAGCCCCAAGCGTCCAAGTTCCCCAGACCCCGAAAATATCCCAAACTGACTAAATAAAAGTAGATTTTTGAATTTTTTTTATTTTTTTGAAATAAAAACTTATAATACGTGTTACATATATGGTTTTGCATTTGTACGGTTGGCACCTGAAAGACAGGAAGGGCAACGAACTGTTCAAGCTTGAGCGTGAGCTGGTGCCAGAGCTTCCGCTGGTAGAGATCTGCAAGCGTGTTGTACCACTCCGAAAGCTCCGGATGCGCAGTGCGAAGGGACTCTAGGTACTCAAAAGCCGCCATTTTTCCTGTTCCCTTCCACTAGTGCGTATGAATCTGATATTGTATAGCCAGGGAGATATATGTATAGTGTATGTATATATATGTGAATCTATGGAGAGAGAGGAGAAAGGGGTGGACGGAGATTTAAATGTTGATGAACATCTTCTCTTATCTTTGTGCCAAAGAAAGGAATAAAGTGCGTTGACAACAATAAATAATATTTGATTGAAGATCTATAAATATGTAGTATAATGCTATGTGTACACCTTGTGTACACATTGTGGTGTACATAATCTTTTACACCCTCCTCACATTGAGGGGGTGTAAAAGATTGTGTAAAATATTGTGTACACATAACACAATCCAAAGATGTATTTGATTGGTTTTATTTTTCATGAAAAATGTCCATTTTTCACACAAGTTCCTACACTTGTGGTGTTTGATTGATATTTTTTTCATAAAAAATAATTTTCAAAAGTTTGTCACGTGACCATATTTTCCTTAAAATTCAGGAAAACATTTTCTTCAGAGAGTGGTAGATTTTTATTTTGAGTGGTGCTATATGTACACAAAATTTTTTACACAATGTTTTACACCCCCTCACATGGAGGGGGCCCACGATTATTTTATTATGTGTGGGCCCCCCTCCATGTGAGGAAGGTGTAAAACATTGTGTAAAAAATTATGTACACGTAGCTTTATTCTTTTATTTTTAAGGCAATTCTCCCTCTCATATTTGCCTACCAATAAAAGATAGACAAGTAAAATATTTTTTTAGTTTGAAAATTAAATCATCAAACACATTTAATTAATAATTTTCATGCAAATAAGTTCTAGATAATTTAATTGCCTACAACTTATTTTATTACTTCATCACACCGGGGGGAGGGGAAGAGTTTGTTATAGAGTTCAAAAGTTGTAGCTATTGACCTCCCTCAATATTGAGAAATGGATTTCATGTGTAGCTGGAGGTAGCTAAAGGTAACACGGAGAGTCTCCAGGGAGACACGCCTGTGGACACTCCATGTCTTTTCAAAGTCAACAGACGGAGAAAACCTCCGTGTAGTGTCTCCGTGGTGATACTGTTCATTATATACCTTTTCTATCTTTATCACTATCCTCTCTCACAAATCGTAAAACACAATACATATACCGTGGTGCTACTGTTCACAAAATATCTTCATTATATACATTTTTACCTTTTCTATATTTATCACTATCCTCTCTCACAAATCGTAAAACACAATACATATACCATTTGAAGGAAAAATGGATTTTGACATTCGCCCTGAATCATGACCTTTGCCTCTTGACCTTTGCCTCTCGTTTCTATGTATTATCAGTTATTTCCCAACTATTAGAGGATGAAGGTGGTGGTGGTGGTGGTGTTGGTGTTGACGTTGTGGAGGGTACTGGCGGCTCTCGCCCTAGTTTACTCACCTTCAGTCGCTCAACCTCAAGGAAAATCTGCGTGCTGCTATGTTCAACCTTATCCCCGAAGACGGGGGTGGATATGTTTCTCGTCGATCTTCCATTGGTTGTTGTCGGTCTTTGAAACTTCTGTTCTTGTTATTACAATTCTTCTAATAGAAACCCTAATAGTGTCCGGTTACAAATGCTCTTATGGTGGGTCTCACTCTTGTTCAAGGAGCTGCTGCCAAAGTGATAGTTTCCTGGAGCTGGCTGCTGGAAGATCTAAGTTGCTGATGAATCTGGAGAGGACCTTGTGGGTTGCTGCCGAGTTTCTGGACCTGTGAAGCTGTTGTAAGGACCTGTGAAGCTGCTGCATGGACATGTGTTGCTGCTGAGATGATGTTTATCAATCTGCTGGAGCAACAGGAGACTGATTTATTAGTGATTAGGATGGGAATTGTACTACAGGCTGATTTATGTAATGAAACTGAAGCTATAATTTGTAAATCGTATATCTGTATTGAATTGCAGAATGTAAGACAATTATTTATGAATTGAAGACCTGACCATAGAATTAAAGAACAATCCGAAGGCTGTCGACATGCCTCGAGCATGAAACTGAAGCTATAATTTGTAAATCGTATATCTGTATAGAATTGCAGAATGTAAGACAATTATTAATGAAATGAAGAACTGACCACAGAATTAAAAGAACAATCCAAAGCTTTCAAGAGGCCTCAAGGTCTCCTAATTTAATCAACCCACTACTCAATATTTTCCCCCTCATACATCCTACCTCTTCTCTATTTATAAGTATTTTGTAACCAAATCTAATAGAATTTGTTACTATTAACTGCTTCTCGATTCTTTTCCAGAGCTTGATAGGAGTCTATCACAAAGGCACCGATAGTTTTTCTCTTTGTCACCTTACTTTTTAGTACATTTTTGCTTGATTTATTTCATATTTTCTTGTATTGTTGCAGTTATGGGAGGTTTTTTCTTTGGCTATGATCTTGGTGTTAGAGGTGAGTTTTTCTTGTTGGGTTCTCAAATTACGGAAAAGAAAATTTGGATTCAAAATTTTGTATATTGTTTTTCGAAAACTCATAAAAGGATCGATTTTTATTTTTATGTTCTCCGCAGTACAGAAAAGACTTCTCCGTGACGTGTCGGAGAATCTTCTCCGTCACGGAGAATCTTCTCCGTGCAGCACGGAGAAAACCTCTGTGATGCACGTAGGTTTTCCGTGTTACCACACGGAGACACAGAAGAGATTTTGTCCCAAGTCTTCTCTTCCTTTGACAAATTTGTAGAGATTAGATTACATTATGATAGTTGGTTCTGTAACTCCTAATATCAGCAAAGGTTGACCGCCAAATATAGAGTGTATTATACATTATCACAAATTGCAGTTGATGCCAAATTTTCTACTGTGCTTAGGCCTCCATCTGCAATACAAAGCAATAAATCAGTACAAAACTTGTAATCCTTTATAAACAGAAATAATGTTTTGTGTGGTCATAACCACTTGTACAAATTTTGAGTGTAAGCAAATTGGATTAATTAGGTTTGGCATCAATGTATTCCTTATGGGAAGAGGGAGAAATGAAAACTTGCCTTAATGTCACCGGAAAAGTAACGGAAGTCATCGCAATCTAAATTATTTAGAGTGCTTCAGGTGCTTTAGCCAGTTCCAAAGAAGCCTATATCGATATATCATAAGTTGACGTCTTCTTTATTATTGTTGGCAGAATAAGAGAACATTCTACATTTAAAATACCATCAGTTTGAGTCAAAAATTGCGGTGGGAGGTTGTGAATATCAAAATTCTCACGGCAACTTGTGTGCAGCATAGAAGTTATCATTCATCTTGTCTTTACTGTGTCACTGAATTTAGGTCAATAAATACGGCTAGTTTTTCTTTTTTTTTTTTTTTTGTCCACATATGGAACAGTGATATGAGAGGTAAAATCATAGTAATCCTCAAAATCCCTCTTTTAAAAGAGAATAGATACGAAGTAAAACAACCCGGTGCATATTATCATATAAATTTGGGAGAATTACAATTATGATACAAAATCTTTTAAAAATTCGCACGTGAAATCCAAAATGACGGAAATAATGAGTTCCACGGTAAGTTGACCTAAAAAAATAAAAATTGGATATTTTTTTATCAATTTAAACGGGGCATTTTCATACGTATTACTAATTAAATTAATAGTCCCGCTACACAACCCGGCTCAATGACCGACTATTTCCAGGCCGACGTGGAAAGCTCATTAAATTAAAAAAAAAATGAAAAAAACGTTGGAAGATCTCTCCAAAAGGACGCCAAACCCTTTCCCCCAAATCCACACCCGCCCTAATCAATTCCACCAAAATCAAGCTGCGAACGGTCACCATCTCCGGCTGCACGTCAATGTAAGGTACCATCGCTCCTCCGGCAGCACTTGCATCCCGCCGATTTTGGATCTCTGGTGTTGCAGGTTTCTGTTCGTCAGCCGTCGGTTTTGTCTATTGGTATGCTTGTTATATGTTTTGCAATTGTTTCAAATATTGAAAGAGAGTTTTTGATTTATGGATTTTATTGGTTTTATTTGTTAATTTTATTTTATTGTTATTGTAATGGAAGCTCTGTTCACTGCTTGTCTTGCTCCAGTGAAGTATTTTTTTTCCTCGGTTTGTTGACTGCATCTGTAGATTTCGGGGTGTTGTGCATTCACCAGTGGCAAATGATTCAGCTCTTCATTTATTTACATGTAAATTTTTGAAAATATTGGTATTGTGACGGAGGTTTTGGATATCATCTTCTTATTATAGTTAAAAATTGTTGACTGGAGTAAGAGTTGCAAAAAAATTCAAGAAGCCTTGTTTTACTAGAATGTTTGTGTCGTTTTTCCTCTTGCTTCAGCAAATCGTCTACAAATTCTTCGAAGTGGAAATGAGTCGAGCAACAGAATGCAAATGGGTGTTCTTCAAAGCTGTATTCACCTTATCCGGCGTGTAATTTTCCGATTTTCAGCCAAAAAATTGGGTCAAGCTACAGATTGCTTTTTCCCCAAATATGCTTTTTCCCGAAATATTTCTTCTCCCGCGATTTTTGATTTCTGCTATGAGTGCACCCAAATCTGGTGAAGCTATGGTGTACTCTGTCCCTCACGTGACATTTAATTTTTCCCTCTACTTAATAAACCCACAGCACGTGGGGAGATTTCAAAACTCTGTCAACAGGGTGTCATTGAGCCGGGCTCACTAGCTTTTTCCTTTTAACTATAAGAAGAAGATGATATCAAAAACCTCCATCTCAATACCAATTTTTTTAACAAAGTTTTTACAATTGATGTCAAATGAAATAATGAGTTACATATAATCGAAATAAATAGGAATTTGTTTACAAGCCTCTTGGCATCATGCTATGCAAATGTCATCATAAATCCTCAACTTAAAGTTCATTTCTAGTAAAACAAGGCTTCTTGGATTTTTTTTGCAACTCTTACTCCAGTCAACAATTTTTAACTATAATAAGAAGATGATATCCAAAACCTCTATCTCAATACCAATATTTTCAAATATTTACATGAAAATAAATGAAGAGCTGAATCATTTGCCACTGGTGAATGCACAACACCCCGAAATCTACATATGCAATCAACAAACCATGGAAAAAATACTTCACTGGAGCAAGACAAGCAGTGAACAAACCGAACAAAAAATGCTTCACCGGAGCAAGACAAGCAATGAACAGAGCTGCCATTACAACAACAATAAAATAAAATTAACCAATAAAACCAATAAAATCCATAAATCAAAAACTCTCTTTCAATAATTGAAACAATTGCAAAACATATAACAAGCATACCAATAGACAAAACCGACGGCTGACGAACAGAAACCTGCAACACCAAAGATCCAAAATCGTCGAGATGCAAGTGCTGCCGGAGGAGCGACGGTACCTTACATTGACGTGCAACCGGAGATGGTGACCATTTGCAGCTTGATTTTGGTGGAATTGATTTGGGTAGGTGTGGATTTGGGGGAAAGGGTTTGGCGTCCTTTTGGAGAGATCTTCTAACGTTTTTTCCTTTTTTTTTTTTTAATTCATTTAATGAGCTTTCCATGTCAGCCGGGAAATAGTCGGTCATTGAGCCGGGATGTGTAGCAGGACTGTAAATTAAAACCCCCTAAAAAATAACTTGCCCCCACCCCCACCCGGCCACAAAACTCAACACCAAACCTCTTCCCTCCCTCCATCATTCACATTCATGTATTCAGTCTCCATTCATATGCAGAAACTTGAATCTCACCCAATCGTTGAAGATAACACAAGCAAGAAGGAGAATTTTGCAAATCAATTGGTTTGAAAAGGGAATCGGATTATGAAAGGAAAAGTTTAAAAAAAATGGAGGAATACAAAAGGCATAAATCTTAGGAGGAATACAGAAATTTGAACCTCTTCATTTCCTGCGGAGATTGAAGAAGAATGGAGGAAGGATTACAGATGTTGAGAAGAATGGAGGCTAAGAGAAGGAGCTCAGAGAAGCAGAGGAATGTTTAGGGTGATAAAGAAGGCGGAGGTGAAGATGGTGGCACCGCCATCGTCTGTGTGGGTGGGACGACGATTTCAGGCACGACGGAGTTGGGTTGGATTTTGGTTTTTGGTAGGGGTAGGTGAACGCAGTGTAGGGGGGTGATGATGACCTAATTTTTTTTTTTAACTAATAATAAGCACGTGTGCTCCACGTTAGAGATGGCAAAAAAAACTGCCC